ATTCATATGGATAATATTTTAGTTAATAATCAATAAGCAACAATAATCTTGATGTCAACCATTTTATTAGATTTTAATTAGTATACTACATAAAGCAAGAATTATTTTAAACCATCGCCTCTATAATCAATTTCACGCAATGTAGGCATACTGAAATTTATTTTATAGTTAGTAAAATCATATTGTTGCATTTTACATTTGCAACGTTCACAAAAACATTCTTCATTGTTTACTGAATAGTTTTCAACTGGGCTCATTGCGATTATAAATTCTAAAATTCTAACATCTATTACCGGCTAATTAAGAGAATCATTTGTTTGTGGTGGCTCTCACACCATGGACCTGCCTTCGGGCCACCATTTATTAACTTCCCGTAGGGTAAGTTATTGTAATGGGCCGAAAATCGAAATTGAAAATTTTTACATTTCTCGGCGTTTCAAAGGTTTCTGAACATTTTGGCATACCTCTAATGCCAAAATAAAAAATGAATGTGTGTGTGTTTGTATGTATGGATACAATTTTCCAGTCACGTTTTCGGGCGCACGGATCAACCGATTTGAATGGTTCAAAAAACATTCGATCCCTATTGATAGGGAGATGTGCTAATTAGTTTTTGGCAAAGGCAGGCCCAGCCATTTCGAAGATACGGAGCTAAATGCGTAAAAATGGCAATTTTTGAGAGAACTAAGCGTCCGATTTAAATGATTCAAAGAACTTTCTGCTTGTCTTAACAAAATAATTGATTTTGGAAAAAAACATTTTGTTTCAACTTTTTTTTTCATTTTTTTTTTCAAAAAAATTGTTTGTATATCAAAAATAAATCAGATTTCATTTTTAATTCTGACTAAAGTTCTAATATACTTTAAACAAATAATTTCAACTTTGCAATTCAGTTTATATAATTCTCATAAATATTAGACAATGCTACAATATTAATAATAATCTATTTGAAAACATTCAGTATTCCTCGAATATTTCGTTACGGTACGAGAAGTTCCAGCATTATTATACCGTCTAATAAAATACTTTATTTATTATGGTGTCACATATCATATCTGAATATATTTGTCTATTTATGCGCTTCGATTTAAAATTTTAGTTAGTTTGTTAGTTTTATAATTTTAGTTAATTTAGTCAATTATTGTTTTTAGTTATTATGATTTTTGTAAACAAATAGTATCAAGCTTTGACACCAACGCTTTGTAATGAACATTCAACCCCATATAATCAATATAATAGGATAATAAGTTCTTAGTAAATTTTGCTTTACAGTATTTCTATTAATTTCGCTTATTTATTTTATAGAACTGACTAAGTACAAAAATTGAAAAATACTGCACATAATAACCAAAGCCAATGATTTAGATAAAAGATTTTTAAAACAGATTTTACAAAATAAAACTGGATTAGCAACAGCAACATAAAAAAGTATAATCACTAAATTTTTATTGCCGAATCATGCGTCAACAATGTCTCCCATGGAAAACACACAAATAATTGAATGGCTCAGAGAATTTCCTGGCTTTGTGCTTTGCCCGAATGAGTCATTCAAATGTAGAAGTCAAGCACCCGGATGAGGCTGGGTGAAGCTTTAAATAATAATCAAAAATATGCGGATATACCGTACGATCGACTAATAATTTACTTTATATTAAATCCTTATAAGATTTATTTAGTCTTATAAAACTTAATAGTTAATATATTTGTATTTGCAAGCTATGACTTGGGAAATTCAGAAAACGTCAGGTGTTCTCTACACATTTCGCCATATTGTGTACTCAATTAATCGCATGCTCGAACTCTGTTCCATAAATACATCATCGTATTGTATCGAATTATACCAAATAAATTTAAACAATTTATAATAATGCACTTAACATATATGATTGTACAAAACATCTTTCAAAAAACTTCAGATTAACTAATGTACAAGTTATGTGACTGTATTTTGTGAATATACATACAAACATTTATTTATGATTAATACTTTTACTAGCAAAATTGCGTTACTGAAAGCTGATAAACGAGTATCTAAGATTTTCTTCTTATCTAAGATCAAAAGAAAACATAACAGGTAGTATTTCAAAATAAAATAAAATTCAGTAGAATAAGTAATCGTAAACAGAATAAATCTTTATTCAAAAAACTAAACTAGCTACTTATTACCGTTAAAGTGCGTTGTATACTTCAAGAAAAAAAGAAAATTTGCAAGACACTGCAGGTGCATGATGCAGGCGAGGCAAGAGAATATTCAATGCATGACATTATAACATTTCAAAAATGAATGAAATCATAACAACAAATAAATTTCATAAATAATATAATAATAATTTAACTATATAATCGGTAGTAAATATTTCATAAATGTATTTGTCAATTATTATAAGTAGATGGAATTTTAAGAATTGTATATAAGAACTGACGTTTATTATTTAAAAAGTGTATACTTTTTAATCACATATGAATACAAAATGAATAATAAGAAAATGATAAAAAATATTAAAAAATATAGTTTGAATAAGACGCCCAAGTATGAAATTAAACAAAAGCACTAGAATAATACAAAAATCATTTAATATTTTGCCAAGATTGTCAAATTAAAGGTAATAAAATCAATAATTATTGATCATCAGTAAAAAATTAATAATAAGTCTAAAAATCTTTCTAATTTCTTTTATATGTTAAATGTCAGTTCAAGTCAATTGTAGAGAAGCAAGTTATGAGAAAGTGCGAATATAAATAAATCTTGAAATATTATGTTTTGCTAATTTTTATGATTATGTGTTTTATTTCTTATTATATAGCATTTAGATTTTCTAGATGTTCACTAAGAACAGTTGTAAATTATATGGTAATTTTTTTTTGCCATTCAAATAATTTTTTTTTCTAATGCGTTTCAGTTATTCATTTTTTTCCTGCCTACCACACAGATAATAAATTCTCTTTCCATTACAAAACCTTTAATGTAAAATATAATCTTTATGCATATATAATGTATAAATTGTGTTTTGTGATTAGTCTTTCAAGTAAAATTGAAAATTATCTTGAAAAACTTGGTCAGCAATTATTCAATAGGAAATAATAAGGAAGAAGAGAAAGATATAAGCTTAAGTAATACTTGATTTTCAGTATTTTAAAAGATATTTCATAAAAAATTACACATGCCCTAATATTAGGTACATATCGTAACACACGAGATTTATTTATTACTTATGTCGACAGACCGAAGTAATTTGCCTTTCGCAATAATAGTAATTCATTCAATCGTTCTGTCTAATTCTTCGAAGTCAAATCATCATTTGAAAGTCTATTCCATTATGAGTTGTGACATATCCTTTTGTGTAATCGAGATGATGGTAGGTATTTGTTTGGATGTACCACATACAATTTATTGGAGACTAGTCGAACTAATGCCTTCGCCTAACGTTTGCTGATGTACTTACAATAATTTTCCAACCATAAATAGTAATCGAAAAAGTACATATGTTTCAAGCATAATATGCTAGTCTCAAATATATGTCTTTATAAAGTATCATGCAACCAACTGAAAAGAACAACATGCCAAATAACAGAAATTCATAATTCACTGATTACAATAGAATAGGGCGGGACACCAGGTCCAATTTTATTTTCAGTAATTATACTTTCTATACCAAATAAACTTAATCACAATACATAATACGTATCAAACAAACAACTATCGAACAATGTTCAGAAAAGTCCACTTAATGCCAAAATACAGAAACGTGTTTTTTACCCCATAAGCGGGATAAAATGGCATAGCCAGGGAGAAAACTGGTCCAATGTCTTATTTTTAATTTTAAAGGGATTTTCCGAAATAATAGGTAGCTTATTCAACCAATGCAAAATATAAAATACATTTTTACAGATAAAACACTGTATATAACCTTGATCTCGTATTATGTATTCAATTTATCTCTTGTAAAATTGCATTTTTTCTTGGTTTTTTATACTATTTTTTATTGTTTACACCTTTGCCAGGGTAGAGGTTCTCACATTGAAGCGTGTTAAAGGTGTAGAAAAGGTGTTGCAATATCATACGTTTCGGGTCCTGATTTAGCCCAGCTTCAGTGTATACAAATAAATTAAAGAGAAAAACACGAAAAGATATGAACACCAATTGATATTACATCAATTTTTAATAAATATTAAATTGAACAAAATAAAAATAAAGTAATATGATTTTTTTTTTAAAAAAAAGGCTCTTCTCATAAAGACATGCTATTCGTCTGGAGTTCGTTTTGCAAGTAAAACATTACACACTACTATATATAAAACCTTAAATGTAACTTAAAAAAAACAATACATCTTACAAAACATTTAAATGACGTGCACTTAAAAACTATATTAAAGCTAGTAAACTATCAACAATGCTCTCAACTAAAAAACTAAGAACGAAAGAAAATACTTTTATTATGTATTTCCAAATATTGCCGTTTATCTACCGATAGCGACGTCATAAGAATTAAGGTAATAGCTGGTTGTACATCTTTTACCTCTACTTTCAAATATTTGTGATAAAAAATTCTTAAATTGTTTTTGAGATATCGATGGTGGACCTTTTTACCCGCGAACCTATAAGCCCCGCATACTTTATATGATTTACAGATAAATATATTATGTGTACGCCGCAAAAGTCAGCAGACCAGGAAAATTATTTTTTACTTTGATATTCAAATTTGTTCAACCATATGAATGTTGAGGCGACGTACACGCACTTGTATAAATAACCATCGCAATAACAATTCAATTAGCATTAAAAATAATTATTTGATGGTACTATACGTCTAGATATAGTATTTCTAGAACAAAAGTAATTATTCACCATCATACCCGTACGCCCAATCAATAGATTTAGAAAATAGAATCAATTTAGAAATTCTAAGTACTATGAAATATATAAAAATAAACAAATATATAAAAAGAAATAATAATAATAAGTAAAGAGAACGTTTCAAAAATTAAATATTGATTCTTACCTGCAGTGCGACAAATGATTTTGGGTGCAGGGGCAATACATCCATACTCCCAGAACTGCCTGGGTTATCAGATCCTATCACCTGGAAAAAATCACAAAATTAATTAGTAATTATTATTAAAATATTATTAAAATAATTTGATATAATTCTATTTTTACCTGATAGCGAAATATATAAACAAAAGAATGTTTATAATTCTAAACTTCCAAATATTTAATATTTATGGTTGATATGAACTCAAATAATTTGAGAGAATAAACATTAATATTGTGAAAACAAATAACTTGCAAATTGTGTTATTATATTTGTCACTCTCTAATAATATATGAAATTCCTTCATTAGAACGCCTACATTATGAATAAAGGATCAAAGAATTTATTTTGGAATTCTGTGCAGTTAGTTTTTGAATCAATTGAAAATAATAAAATAGTTAATGCAAGGTTATTTGCGTATTTTGAAATGTCGGTAACTTTTAAAATCAATAGAAATTTTGTATTAATAGCTAATCAATCTGGTGAAAGTAATAACTGCAAATCTTTTAGCGAATGATCGAACTGATTTTTTTTCAAAATAGTTTATATTATGATGTTTGTTGACAGTAACACATGGTGATAATGCTCATATACATGGCATGATTATCGAATAATATTGATTTTTTTTGTTATTCTATTTGTTAATAGAAAGAATAGTTAATTTATTACATCAATTTTATCATTTGTAACCACATCCAAACTACAATAATTCTTATGAAATAAATATACGCGGCACAAAATTGCAATTACTCAACCGCAGGACGTACACTTGCGTTTAACTGTATCGAATTAAAATAATTAAAAAAATACATTGAATGTTGCTGATATTCGTGACACTATATCAACGAAAACCAGCGGCCTTGTAATTTCAAATTGCGTTTTTTTCACGAGTAACGTCTATTAATGTAATGAACATGTGGTATCTCTAGAAAGCCTCTTGTAGTAATAAAATAATTCACAAAACCAGTTGGACTGGCAAGTGAAGTATAAAATAAATATAATGTACGTACGAACAATTTTATTATTTTTGAATTTAGTGAAAAATGTACGTTGAAGTATTTTTTAGATTCCCAAAGTATATTAAACATATTCGATATATCTTCATCCGAATCGAGCCAATTAAAATAAAAATATTATAACATAAAATTGTATATCATAATCAGTGGTGTTGTCGAGCCGGAACGCGCCGGAACGTCGTTCCGGCAAATCATTTTTGAGCCGGAACGCGTTCCGGCAAGAAAAAATATAAAAACATCGCTACATACAGAAAATGATTTAATAAGTAAATTTTATACGTTATTATTCAACTAATTTTTATTAAATGTTATTATTGTAATAAACATACATATATGTGCACAAAATGGGTTTTGCAATAATTTTTGTTTCTTTCCTTTTTGAACGGAACTGGAAAAACATGAAAATCAGTTTTAGAACCGGTTTTTAAATTTTAGCGTTTCGGCAAAAAAATATTAGCACAAAACCACTGGTTTTATCAAAGTCGTTTTTAATTTAGTAACAAATTGAGGTGTATGAACTTCTTATAGAAAAAATAATATTTATAAATTAAATCTTACATTCATTCGCATTTCTTATACGCTAACATCTACATCATAGGTTTCTATTCATGTAGTTTTATAGCCTTACGTGTGCCTATACGTTGCATTCTATACTACAAGCCTTACATCTGTACCATACATACGCTATATTTCATTATATACTCTCAAATCCCTACATTGTATACCGAATACACCTAACCTATATTTACTATATATCCTATTATCTATAATTTCCCTTACACGCTACATTAACCTTACCGAGATTCGAACCCGGGTCCGCCGCGTGGTACGCGGCGACCTTATCCACTACACCACCGTAACGCTACAATCAACCGTCTTTTTTCGCGTGTCGTCGCGCCACCTCAGTATTAATTATCTAATTAATTAGAAAATGACCCGCGGAAACAACAGTGCGTCCCATATTATATTATTAATGGGGGTACCCGATAGAGTAGTGGTTAAGGTGCGCGACTTCCACGCGGAGGTCCCGGGTTCAATTCCCGGTATAGACAATAGGTAGGTAGAGATAACACATAGAGCGTAAGGTTCACCTATATAATATAGGTGAATATATAAATTAGATAGTAGTATTTATAAGAAGTAAAAGGTCTGTAGGTATATAATAAGTTAATGACGGTATAGGTATCTCACGGTATGATAGATAATAGATATCTATATATGATATACAATAATATAGTATAATATGATAGGTAATAGGTTATCTATCATATTATTAATAGAATATATAAATTAGACAGTAGTATTTATAAGAAGTAAAAGGTATGTAGGGTATATAATAAGTTAATGACGGTATAGGTATCTCACGGTATGATAGATAATAGATATCTATATATGATATACAATAATATATAATAGTATAGTATGATAGGTAATAGATTATCTATCATATTACTAAGATAAGTCTTATAAAGTATTGTAATAAATCTTGAGTACGTTTATATCATAATAAATACATGTAGGTATTAATGAATACAAATAATACCAGAATAAATATGATTAATGTCATTGAAGAATATAAATTATGTACTCAATGATTCCCTCATACTTGTACAATTTAATGTATAGACTAGCTGTGTATAATAGAGTTAATTATATAAAAAGTCAATATATTAGATTTGTGAGTTCTTATCGAAATATATCAAATTTTTTGAACCGGTTTATGAACCGGATTTTAAATTTTAGCGTTCCGGCAAAAAAAATATTAGCACAACACCACTGATCATAATACAATATTACAACCAACATTTATACAAATTTCATTCAAAATATAATATAACATACAATTAACTTTTTTTTTATTATTAGTATATAACAGGTATATATAAGGGATGCTTAGTTTACACCTATACTTTAATATTCTTATATACTTCAAAATTCAATTTAAATCTATAAGACGTTATTAGCTACAAAAAAATAATTTCAATTCTGTGTATCCCTTTCAATACTCATAATTATTTAAATACAGAGATCGGGTAGAGCGGGGCGCTAAAGTTCCGCGGATAAAATGGTCCACCGCCGATATCTCAAAAACAAGTAAAGTTAGGAATTTTCTAATATCAATATTTGAAAAAAAATGTAAAGAGATGTATAACCATCCATCATCTTGATTCTTACGACGTTGCTAAATCCACAACAAAAGTATTTTCTCACGTTGTTACTTTTTTTTTTATTGTGAGCACTGTTGTTTAGTTTACGTTTAGGGGGAGGGGGACAGAAAATCACAAAATATCACGTGGGTAAGGGATATAGCGTGTTTTTCTTTTATACTTGATTTTTTTTTTAAATCCAAACATTTATAAAAAACAAATCGAGAATTTTACAATTTTTTCACGTAACTAAAAATACACGGGATGTTTGGTGGGGGAGGGGGGGTAATTTTGAATATCACCACGTATCACCAAGGGGGAGGGGAGAAAAATCCTTAAAAAGTCGATCACGTGATTAATGGACGACCAGTTATTTAATTATTTTGTAAGATAAATAAAGTTGATTTTAAGTTACATTCTACAGTTTTTTTAAATAACCTCTATAAAAGCTTAAGGCGTAAAAAAACCAACTGTATCTTTACTCTGGCAAATATGTGAGCAATAAGTTAAGTTAAGATTATAAAAATTAAACAACTATAAAATAAGAGATAAATTAAATAAATAGATACTACAATTCTGCTGATGAATATTTCTGACAAAATAACAGATCAAGTTTATATACAGTGTTATCTCCGTAAAAAATATACCCATGAAATTTATATTTTGCATTGGTTGAATAATGTAGCTATTATTTAGTAAAATTCGTTTAAAATGAAAATAAAACATGGGACTTGTTTACCTCTTGGCTATCTTATTCTACCCCGCTTATGGAGTAAGAAAAACCAGGTTACAAATTTTTGAAAAACAGCAAAAAAACACATTTCGACCATGATGAATTGGCTAAGCTGAATTTTACTGAACATAGTCAGATAGTTGTTTGCTTGATATGTGTTATTTGTTACGATATGAATGGTTTGTTTTTCGCAATATAATTGCTCAAAGCCGCTTATTGGTCCTTAATGCCCCGCCCTACCCTATATTAAAAGTGATGTATAAATAAATTTAAAAAAAAAACACCAATAAATTTAAAACGACTTCTAAATGAGTAACAGTATTCGTAAATATACGTTTCAACAATATCAATTACTTAAAATAATTTAATCACCTGAAAAAACATAACAAGTCTGAACTCATTTTTGTGAAACATAATCATAGTAAAATATTAAAGCGCCAACAAGAAAAGCATGTTAATGTTCCACTCGCATGATCATACGCATATTCTAGGAAATGTATCAGCTCACAAAGTTTCAGAGAGAAACGCAATGGCAATCAAAACGGCAGTAAAGAATTATTTTATATGTTATAATATAAATGATCATGTAATACACAACAATGAAACTCACGAGTAATTGAAAAGGAAATTAGTACGTGTTTTAGATCAATCGTTAGGCAATATTCATTTTATTTTATGGAGAAGAAAAGATGTTATTGCATTCTTATATAAGCATCAAATTATAGAGACTGTCAAACGAGCTGTGCATGAATTCAAGAGAAGGAGCAGTTCAAGAAAACGAAATGTGCATCATAGATGATAATGATTTAAATACCTTAGAAACGATTAGACATTCTTAATCACATTATAATAATAATTAGATTCTACTCGTACATATCACACATTCCTTGCATTTTCGAATTAACATTAGTACAAAGACAAAGTATATATTAAGGTAGCAATAATTCTTTCATTATGAATTTCAGTTTTAAATTCAAAAAATAAAATGTATTATAATAAAACTTATTATTAACCCTTTCACTCCATTAGTGGTGAACGGACGATATATTTTAAGATATTTCTATGATCGGTAAAAATGTGTTGAAAAAAATAAAAAAAATAGTTAAAAATTAAAATTTGCTCTTCTAATGAAAAACCTTCCAAAAATTACAA